TTTGTTTTTCTTTTGCAGGTAAACTTTAACCCTTTTATTATTTTAAATCAGTGTATATCCCCAACCCTGACATTATCTAAAAAGTAGTTTTAGCACATTTGCTTTTGTTTATATGGAGTTTTTTTGGAGATTGGCATAAATGAATGAAAAGAGGTTTAGAATCTAAACCTCTATTTTGCTCCTAACTGTAGTGTTGCTATTACCCAAGACCTAAGTCTAGTAATGAACTTTAATGAATAGGTACCATGACATTTGTTCTTTTATCTAACAGACTGGCTATACATTGTTATGAAGCAGGAATGTTTTATTAATATAATATAGTTATATTTTCACCAAAACTTTTGCTTATGATATTTTGGTTAAATATCTTTATGAATGACTTGGTATCCAAAGTGTCCTTGTGTAGAAACCCTAAACTTTAATTGTTTTAATGTTTTATAAAGTGGCTTTTTAATATTTTTAACTAAAGAACATGGATTTGCAAAGCTCAATTGAAATACCTGATAAAGGGAAGGCTGATGCTCCTGTATATGTTGGTAAAGAAGAAGACATAAAACAGTCCCAAAGAATAACAGCCAGTGTCCATGACAGAGAAGTTGTCGTTTTCTACCATGAAGGGAAATTTTATGCCATGGACCGTCGCTGTTACCGTAAGATTGTTTGCACTCATCATCTTGGTGTGTATGTAACACTTTTAAAGTAAACTAGTGTGAGTTTTGACTCTAATTCCATATTCCACTATGTTTCAGATGCAGGAGGTCCTTTACATCTTGGAGAGATAGAGGTATATAAACATCCTAAAAATAACACACAATTATTCAAAATCTTTTTACATTTTAATCCCAATTTTATATTACTTTCTCACTTTGGGCTAAATAATGTTCTTAGTAACACTGCAATAACTCTACTGAAATCAATGGGCTTACTTTGGATTTAAACTGGTGTAGCTGAAAGCAAAATTTGGCCCTTTCTCTCTATAATGGACCACTATCTTTAACAGTCCTTAATTTTTCAATTTCCACAATGCCCCCAACTCCCTGGTGACTTGAGGGACAGGAGGCCAAGTTCAGGTACTTTTGAAACAAATAGTTTAATATCATTTATTATTATTTGGCACTTACTAGACACACTTACTTTATAAAACACTGACAGCATGCTTTGTGTTTCTACATCATAGAGAGATGTGGTGTCTGTCAAAATGTGAGTAAGTAAAAACATCTCCAGTCACACTGTTGAAAATAAAAATGGATATTATCTTTATTATCTGGAGTCAGAAAGAATCCCTGTCATCTATACACACACATTATGATAGAGTATTGCCAGTTAGGGGCATTATGGGTTTTACTCTGAATCTTCTGACATTGACCACTGTTGGAAACAGGCTACGCTAGCTGGATCAGTAATCTGATTTGGTATTCCAGTCGCTATTTTTAAAAACAGAACCTGGTGTTCCTGCCACGGCAGTACAGGGCATTACAACTAGGCCAGAAAGCTATGTGTTGGTCTAGAGATATTTCATAGGGAAGAGTAAGATTTCAGTGGGTTGTCTTAATTTTTTCCCCAGGATATCAATGGACAGCCCTGCATTATTTGCCCTTGGCACAAGTATAAAATTACTTTGGCAACAGGAGAAGGCTTATATCAAGCAATAAACCCTACAGAACCATCAGCAATACCAAAATGGCGATCAAAAGGAATAAAGCAAAGAACTCACAAGGTTACTATAGACAATGGAAGTGTTTATGTGACTCCTTCGGACTTATCTATCAGCTGTGACTCTGATTACTATGCTGATAAGTACAAAAAGACTGAAAGTTCTGATATGAAAAAATAATGCACATCCTGAACTTCAAAATCAGTGGCCATAATGCAAAATACCAGTGTCTGTGTACAAGGCATTATCAGTATCACAGAATGATATGCAGATTTTTTCTAGATATTAATATAAAGAAATACCAGTGTTAATCTTATTGTTATTAAAGCATTAAGTAATATAGAAATGAGTAAGATCATAAACAAAGGTCAAGACCCTCTCTAGAATGAATTAGCTTTGTGCCAGTGCAGTTTTATATTTGCCTTTAATAAAATACAAGTTTAATGTATGTACATTAGTCAAGTTTGTAATATTTGAAGTGTTAAATCTTCTATCGCTAGAGTTAAAATCTTTTAACCTTTAGGAGGAGGAATATTATAATGCATTTAATTCGTTTATAAAAACACCTTGAAATGTTATGGTAAATATCCATTGAAGGATAGAATTTTTCTAATACATTGAATAGTTTAGAACTATAATCATTTCAATTTAATTGGGAGATTTTTTTTTTGTAATGTTATGTTATTTGCAGGTCAGGAGAAAAACCTGTTATTTTTTCTTAACACATAGGACCAGAGTTTCATAAAGTGAGGTACAAAGCACTTGTGTGTTGTAATGTGCTTTTGCATGGTTACTTTTGTGTGTGCAATTACCCCAGTTCTGTTCTAAATAAGTACTTGTATCTCCTTCATCATGGTAGTGTCTGAGCACATTCCAATAGTCAATTAACCAACATGACAAACATCTATCACATGTGAGTTCTCTGTCATCCTTTCCTCTGGAGGAAAATTGGATGTGCACTGTAGGATTTTGTTTTGGGGTTATTTTAAAAATGTAAACACTTATCAGAAAGTATCTTGGGCCTGGTCTACACTACGAGTTTAGGTCGACTTTAGCCGCGTTAAATCGACTTAAGCCTGGACACGTTTACACTACGAAGCCCTTTCCGTCGACTTAAAGGGCCCTTTAAACCGGTTTCCTAACACCACCTCGACAAGGGGATTAGCGATAAAATCGGCCTTAGGGGGTCGGAATTGAGTTAGTGTGGACGGAATTCGACATTACTGGCCTCCGGGAGCTATCCCACAGTGCTTCATTGTGACCGCTCTGGACAGCACTCTCATCTCAGATGCACTGGCCAGGTAGACAGGAAAAGCCCCGCGCACGTTTGAATTTCATTTCCTGTTTGCTCAGCGTGGAGAGCACAGGTGACCATGCAGAGCCCATCAGCACAGGTAACCGTGATGGAGTCCCAGTCCCAGGATCGCAGAAGAGCTCCAGCCTGGACCGAGCGGGAGGTACGGGATCTGATCGCCATCTGGGGAGATGAAGCAGTGCTCGCCGAACTCCGAAACAGTAAAAGAAACGGCAAAACATTAGAAAAGATCTCCAAGGCCATGAAGGACAGAGGCCATAACAGGGACGCACAGCAGTGCCGCGTGAAAATTAAGGAGCTAAGGCAAGCCTACCACAAAGTCAGAGACGCAAACGGAAGGTCCAGGGCAGAGCCGCAAACATGCCGCTACTACACGGAGCTGCATGCCATTCTAGGGGGTGCAGCCACCACTAGCCCAAGCGTGTTCTATGAGTCCCTCTCTGGAAACGGGGAAGCGGGTTCGGCGGACGAGGAAGATGAGGATGGAGAGAACATAGATAGCTCACAGCAGCAAGGAAGCGGAGAAACCAGTTACCCCAACAGCCAGGATATGTTTGTCACCCTGGACCTGGAAACAGTAACCCCCGAACTCACCCAAGACCCTGAGGGCACACAGGGGACCTCTGGTGAGTGTACCTTTGCAAAAATTACACATGGTTTAAAAACAAGCGTGTTTAATGATTAATGATTAATTTGCCCTGGCAATCGCGGCCAGTACAGCTACTGGAAAAGTCTGTTAACGTGTATGGGGATGGAGCGGAAATCCTCCAGGGACATCTCCAGAAAGCTCTCCTTCATGTACTCCCAAAGCCTTTGCAAAAGGTTTCTGGGGAGGGCTGCCTTATCCTGTCCGCCATGGTAGGACACTTTACCACGCCAGGCCAGTAGCACGTAGTCTGGAATCATTGCATAACAAAGCATGGCAGCGTATGGTCCCGGTGTTTGCTGGCATGCAGACAACATCCATTCCTTATCTCTCTTTGTTATCCTCAGGAGAGTGATATCATTCACGGTCACCTGGTTAAAATGGGGCAATTTTATTAAGGGGACATTCAGAGGTGCCCCTTCCTGCTCTGCTGAACAGAAATATTCCCCGCTGTTAACCACGCGGTGGGGGGGAGGGTTGAAGTGACCATCCCAGAGAATTGGGTGTGTGGGGGAGGGGAGTTAGTTGGGTTTGTGCTGCATGTTAAACCTGAAATCGCAGCCCCTCCTTTTACATTGCAAACCCATTTTAAATGGCACGGGTGCTTGGTATGGGAAATGAGGGCAGAACTGTTTGAAACCATCCCCACATGTTAAGAAGGTTAAAAAAGCCCAAAGACTATATGTCTTACCATGGCTGCCTGCAAGCTGAAATCTGTGTCCTGGCACTGCGTGAGTGATATCTCACACCAAACCAGGAGACTCTCAATATAAGAGGAAAAATGCGACCTTGTAACGAAAGCACATGTGCTGTGTGATGTTGTGAACAGCAAAATCTAACGTGAAAGAGTCTACCCATTGTTCTCTAAAATGTATCTTTTTTAACAACCTCTCCCTTCTCCACCAGCTGCAAATCTTACTCCTTCGCAGAGGCTAGTGAATATTCGAAGAAGGAAGCGAAGGACGCGTGACGAAATGTTTACTGAACTTCAGACTGCCTCCCACGCTGACAGAGCACAGCAGAATGCGTGGAGGCAGTCAATGACTGATTTTAAAAAAGCCCAATATGAGCGAGAGGAGAGGTGGCGTGCTGAATCGCGGGCTGAAGAGGAGAAGTTGCGTGCTGAAACGCGGGCTGAAGAGGAGAGGTGGCGTCAACTTGTACTCAGAAAGCAAGAGTCGATGCTCCGGCTGCTGGAGCATCAAAGTGATATGCTCCTGCGTATGGTTGAGCTGCAGGAAAGGCAGCAGGAGCAGAGACCGCCGCTACAGCCCCTCTGTAACCAGCAGCCATCCTCCTCACCCAGACGCCCAAGAACACGGTGGGGGGGCCTTCGGCCACCCACTCACTCCACCCTAGATGATTTCCATAGCAATAAGTTTTAAAGTTTTAAATTGGAGTGTGTCCTTTTCCTTCCCTCCTCCCCCACCCATCACGGGCTACCTTTCCAATTATCCCCCTAGTTGTGTGCTGAATTAATAAAGAATGCATGAATGTGACGTAACAATGACTTTATTGCCTCTGCAAGTGGTGCTCGAAGGGGGGAGGGTAGTAGGGGAGGGTGGGGTGGTTGGTTTGCAGGGAAGTAGAGTTAACAGGGTGGTGGGGGAGGGGCAGAGGGTTCATCAAGGAGCAACAAACAGAAGTTTCACTCCGTAGCCTGGCCAGTCACAAAACTGGTTTTCAACGCTTCTCTGATGCGCACCGCGCCCTGCTGTGCTCCTCTAACCGCCCTGGTGTCTGGCTGCGCGTAATCAGCGGCCAGGCGATTTGCCTCAACCTCCCACCCCGCCATAAATGTCTCCCCCTTACTTTCACATATATTGTGGAGCGCACAGCAAGCAGCAATAACAATGGGGATATTCTTTTCGCTAAGGTCTGAGCGAGTCAGTAAGCTGCGCCAGCGCGCTTTTAAACGGCCAAATGCACATTCCACCACCATTCGGCACTTGCTCAGCCTGTAGTTGAACAGGTCCTGACTACTGTCCAGGCTGCCTGTGTACGGCTTCATGAGCCATGGCATTAAGGGGTAGGCTGGGTCCCCAAGGATAACGATAGGCATTTCAACATCCCCAATGGTTATTTTCTGGTCCGGGAAGAAAGTCCCTTCCTCCAGCTTTCGAAACAGAAGAGACTGCCTGAAGACGCGAGCATCATGTACCCTTCCCGGCCAGCCCACGTTGATGTCGGTGAAACGTCCCTTGTGATCCACCAGGGCTTGCAGCAGCATTGAAAAGTACCCCTTGCGGTTTATGTAGTCGGTGGCTTGGTGCGCCGGTGCCAAGATAGGGATATGGGTTCCGTCTATCGCCCCACCACAGTTTGGGAATCCCATTGCAGCAAAGCCATCCACTATGGTCTGCACGTTTCCCAGAGTCACTACCCTTGATATCACCAGGTCTCTCATTGCCCTGGCAACTTGGATCACAGCAGCCCCCACAGTAGATTTGCCCACTCCAAATTGATTCCCGACTGACCGGTAGCTGTCTGGCGTTGCAAGCTTCCACAGGGCTATCGCCACTCGCTTCTCCACTGTGAGAGCTGCTCTCATCCTGGTATTCTGGCGCTTCAGGGCAGGAGAAAGCAAGTCACAAAGTTCCATGAAAGTGCCCTTACGCATGCGAAAGTTTCGCAGCCACTGGGCATCGTCCCAGACCTGCAACACGATGCGGTCCCACCAGTCTGTGCTTGTTTCCCGGGCCCAGAATCGGCGGTCCACGGCATGAACCTGCCCCAGTAACACCATGATTTCCACATTGCTGGGGCCTGTGCCTTGTGAGAGGTCCATGTCAATTTCCTCATCACTATCGTCGCCGCGCTGCAATCGCCTCCTCCTCAGCTGGTCCTGGTTTGGCTTTGGCATGTCCAGGAGGCTCTGCATATGCTCCAGGACAATGCGCGTGGTGTTCATAGTGCTCATAATTGCCGCGGTGATCTGAGCGGGCTCCATGATCCCAGTGCTGGCTATGGCGTCTGGTCTGAAAAAAGGCGCGAAAGTAGTATCTGACGGACCAGGGGAAGAAGGGAGGGAGGGAGGGGCGAGTGACGACATGCCGTACAGGTAGGGAGAGAGGGAGGGAGGGGCGAGTGACGACATGGCGTACAGGTACAGGGAATTAAAATCAAGAAAGGTGGCTTTGCATCAGGGAGAAAGACAAACAACTGTCACACAGAATGCCCCCCCCCCCAAAGATTGAACTCAAAAGCCTGGGTTTAGCAGGAGGGAGGGGGGAAGCAAATGAATGCAGAATAAATCTATTTTTTACATCTTAAGACGACAGTGCAGCATGACTGATAGCCCTTGGCATTTTCTGGGTGCTTGGCAGCAAATACTGGGCGCTTGGCAGTAAGCCTTCAGGTCTATTGCACGATCTGATACCCACTGCAATATGACAATGATGGATACCAATCGTAATATGCTATCTA